TTGTCAGCCGTTCAAAATCCTTAGTAAAATGTTTATTATCAGTTAGCTTCATACTTCTAAGAATCATTTACTTCAAAATTTCAATCTTATTCTTGTAACTATGGTTGGAAAAAAAGTTAAGTAGAGCCAACATATGTTAGCTTTCTATAAACATCTCTTCTCTAATAATAAGAACATCCAAAAAAGATAAGGACTTATTCTTTTCCATTTTACACAGGTTGAGCGAAAGTAGGAAACTATCTAAACTGTCCTTACCTTGAGCCCAGGTGACAAAATAGTCAAACATGTATCTAACCCACAATTTGGGGGTTAGTATTCCCTCAATCTTGTCATATAATTGTTCGCTAAGATGGGAGACAGGCATGATCCCATGTCCTAGTGTTTGTTCGTATAACTTACCATCAAAGGTAAAATATGTGGTACTCATGGTTAGGTTAATAAGTCTAATAATGGAAGCTACACTCAGCCTTATTCCTTGTGTTATCTCTGGATTTTCCTCCAGAGTTTGTATCAGAGCACCTTAGACAGGAATGTTTGTGTACATTGAATTTTGCATAATCTGTATAGGAATATCTTTTAGGAAACAAGTTTCTGTAAAATAGATTGGAAACATGAGGCCCATTCATATAAATGTGGACAAATTCAGCTACCAGTCCTTTATTAACGTAAAAGGTGATCACAGTTCTTATTCTTTTGTAATTACCCTGAGTTACAACCGATTCACATTCATACAGACACACACACCCAAGTATAAGTATCCCAATTACTGTGCAAGAGGACTAACCAAATAATTTTATATCTATTTTATCCGTATCTTTTCGTTTTTAGTTATGAACATTTATTGCATGTACTCGTTCTCTTGACTGATTATTAAGTTGAAGATTTCGCAGGAACGAGTTCCAGCCATGACGAAGTCTGTCAAATGGTACGACGGGCTAAAGCTCGGCTCGTTTACGTCAGAAACGAGAACGGGTGTATTGCGGAATGCGTCAACTTGAACCACATATTAAAGCCAAACGACTTACGAATATCTTAATTATGCACATTACATGAAAGGAAAGCCTCGACAATAAGGCTATTTCAAGAGGATCACGAAGCCCAACTTACTCATGATATATAGAATATTAGCCTAACCTTGCTGAAGTAGAGCCACGTCGAGTCGAGTCACATTGTTCGGGCTAATCTGTCCAAGAAACAGGCTACTCGGTCCCGAACTTCTCAAGTTCCACGCCTCAGTCTGGGGCTGATGGTGATCAGAAGAGAGCGCGATTACATGCGGTCGCAGAACCTCGAGGCCCAGATTGAACCGGCCGATAATTGAATCGGCTGTAGCTACGAGCTCTCCGCCGACCGGCAACGCAGGATCTTTGTCTCGTCGCTTTGTTGGCCGAATCGGACGCAGCAGGAAGCCAGACACGCCGCGTCCAGGAGGGCCAGGTATCTGATCGCCAGACAATTGTGGTACTGAAGCGTTGGCCGAAAGGCTATTAGAATGTAGCATATTCATCAACATTGGCTTCATAGATTCATGGTGGCCATCTAGCATCGTTGGTCCATGACCGACAGCGAAGTTGGCTTGCTGGCTGGAGCCAAGAAGATCAGGTCCAGTGATACCAAAGATCAGGCTGAAAAAAGGTGTACCAAAGATGACACAATCAAGAGCTGTTTTTGTTTTCCGGGTAGTTCCAATCCGAAAAGTGTAGCCATACTCAAATAAAATTCGTCATGGCATAGCGTGGGCGATAAATCAAGCTCCTTCTCACAATCATTTACCTGGTAAAATATTCCAAGCATTCCTTATAAACCAAGTAGAAGATTTGGCCTCAGAGATATGAAAAAATATAGTTATTTTGCCTTATCCATCCTGCATTTAGGGTATAACCCCCAAAATCGTGGATGAAAAAAAGCTTAAACACAACTTCTAAACTGCAAGGATGTAAATCAAAAAGGTTGGTTCGAGAAAATAGAGGGTGGGAGAGAATGAGCTTACACACACACACATATATATATATATCAAACATGAGTCACATTTTAGGAAATACATGAAAATACCGTTTTTAAGTGGATGAAATTGTGAGGTAAGAAATAATTTCATATGTTTTAATAGGATTGCTTGTGCCACGTTTCTTTTGTCATCGTGTGACCCTAATAATGTGACAC